CTTGGCAAAATTGCATGCATACCTGCTGAAAAGGGGTTTCCAAATATAGCTGGCAAGAAAGGTGGGAAGAGAGTGTTAAGTTCATACAACGAGGCCATTTTATTAAAGGATTGGCCACTAGCTTGGAGTTGTGCTCCCATTCTCTCGAGACAGAGTGTTTTACCACCCGAGTACTCTTGGGGAGCACTTCATCTGAGGAGCCCTCCTGCTTTTTCTACTGTTTTGGAACACTTGAAGGTAACAAACTTAAATCCTTTCCTTTTTTGTTCGAAGATATTGCTTTATGCAAGTAAATATGTAGTTTACATGTGTTCCAGATAATTGGGAGAAATAGTGGTGAAGACACTCTTGCTCACTGGCCGACTGCATCAGGTTTAATGACTGTCGAGGAAGCTTCTTTAGAGGTCTTAAAGTACCTAGACAAGGTCTGGGGTTCCCTCTCTTCGTCAGGTAGTTTTCTTATTTTACTCATCTGCGACATTATACCTTCTGTGTGGTTGAATGGTTAGAATGATCAGGTTTCTGGTTATTACAACCTCAGTGTTCGAAGCAATAGTGCCTTGACAATGTTGTGGAAAAATAGTTTGTGAGGTTTTGAATTTTGTTGTGTTTTTAAATTATTTAGTTTTACCTATTAATCTCTTTTTCTCTTCTAGTAAGTCAATTTCTTAATGTTTTAACTTTTTGTCTTTGTTTTGTGCCTTGGCTGTTTAGTTTCCTTTCCACTCAGCTCATGGTTTGAAATCTTAGAACGTTGACTTTGATTTATGATATGTAGAAATCTTGGTTTCTACTAAAGAATTGCTAGTCAGGCCTTCTGTAAACATTCAAAAGGTGCTTCCATACTTCATCATCGTCATGCTATAAATATAATAACTATTGTTCTATTCAATCTTCCATTTTCCAATGGATATTTGTTGATCGTGCAGTTTATATGATTTTTTTTTTGTTGCAATTGCTTGTCTATATCTCTGTTTCTTATTTGGAATTCACATAGAGTTGTTCATCATATTTCGGAGCTTGAAATTTTGGTCAAAATTGTCATCTAAAATCCTCACCAAAATCTCAAATAATGTATGTCAAACTCACTGTCTGTTTTTTTTCCCAGTCTGAAGCGTGTGCCATTGACAAGTTTATTTATTTCTTATCCTTCATAAGATTATAGACCATGAGTTTGGGTATTGTATACTTCCTTAGAATGCCTTTTTGAGACTGCAAGCTCTCTTTTGTTGCCGAAAATTGCATTGCAGCAATGATTTAAAAATTAACTTCCATCTTTTTGCTGCAAATTTTAATTTTCCATGTTTGTTTGATGGCTTGCCTTGATTTCTGCAAAGACGTATAACCTTGAGGAATTCATCTTTGTTACAGTGAAAAGTAATATTTGCTTGTCAAAATAATTACAGTAGCTAAGCTTTGACCTTATGAGCAGCTCTAAATTGAAACATGAAATATGGGTCAACATAATAGTTCTAATTATAGGGGAAGTGGTAAACACAGACTGCTTGTGATAAACGTCTATTGGTTGTATTAAATAAACTTCCATTTCCCATCCAAGTAATTTATAAATCAAAGAAGGGCAGAAGCTGCTGGGCGAATCCCTGTCAGGAACTAAGTTAACTCCATTATATATTCCATTTTTCAAATATTAACTTTAAACATTTATTTTTAATGTACTTTCTCTTTGTTTTCTTTGCCAGATATAGCAGAGTTGCAGAGAGTGGCATTCATGCCAGCTGCAAATGGTACACGCTTAGTGACAGCGAGCTCTCTTTTTGCGCGTTTGACGATAAATCTCTCCCCATTTGCATTTGAACTCCCTAGTCTATATCTTCCTTTTGTGAAGATTCTTAAAGACATGGGACTTCAGGACATGCTATCAGTTGCTTGTGCAAAGGATCTTCTCTCAAATCTTCAAAGAGCTTGTGGGTATCAGCGTTTAAATCCAAATGAACTTCGTGCTGTCATGGAAATTCTGCATTATGTCTGCGATAAAACCATTGAGGCGAACACGTCAGATAGGTCCAACTGGGTATCAGAAGCTATAGTCCCTGACGATGGCTGCAGACTTGTGCATGCAAAATCATGTGTGTATGTTGATTCTTATGGGTCCCAGTATATGAAATCTATCAACACTGCCAGGCTAAGGTTAGCTAACCCAGATCTTCCTGAGAGAATATGTACAGCCCTGGGGATCAGGAAGCTATCTGATATAGTTGTAGAGGTATGTACATGATCTGTTGCAAGTTCTTTTGCAATTAGTTTCATCATTATGTACTTATGATTCATTTTTCTTTCAGTGTGACTATATGGTATAAATCTATATCTATTCTGCAGGAATTAGATCATGGGGAAAATCTACAGACCTTGGAACAGATTGGCCCAGTTCCACTAGTAGCCGTTAGACAAAAGTTGTTGAGTAAATCATTTCAGGCTGCAGTATGGAGTGTTGTCAACAGTATAAGTAGTGACATTCCAGACTTTGATAGGCTAACTTTGGAGAGCATACAATCCTCGCTGGTACTTGTTGCGGAGAAGCTGCAGTTTGTTCAGTGTGTACATACTCGCTTTCTGCTTCTCCCACAGTCTCTAGACATTACCCGCGTAGCAAAGGATTCCATTATTCCGGAGTGGGAGGGTGGTTCCCAACATCAAACCCTCTACTTTGTTGACCGGTTGAAGACCTGTATCTTAGTTGCTGAACCACCAACTTATATATCTGTTCTGGATATTATTGCAATTGTTGTGAGCCAGGTTTTAAGCTGCCCAATCCCGCTGCCTATTGGATCTCTATTTCTATGTCCTGAAGAGTCTGAGACTGCAATTGTTAATCTCTTGAAACTTCGTTCAGAAAAGAGAGTATCCGAGAGCACGAGTGGAAAAAATGGTTTCCTTGGCAGGGTAATACTGCCCCAAGACGCCATTCAAGTACAACTTCACCCATTGAGACCCTTTTATTCTGGAGAAATTGTTTCTTGGCGGTCTCAAAATGGAGAGAAATTGAAATATGGTAGAGTTCCGGAGGATGTGAGACCATCAGCAGGACAAGCGCTCTACCGGTTCAAGGTGGAAATTGCCCCAGGGGTGGTTGAACCTCTTCTTTCTTCTCACGTTTTCTCATTTAAAGGGGTATCAATTAGCAACGAGGCTTCCTCATCAAGCACGCTGGAGGACAACCACACGACCGCTGAAAACAGGATGCGTGTTGAGGAGCCAGTAGGTTCTGGAACAGGCAAATCACGATCTACTCAGGTAATTATTATTTTTCAATGGTTTGATAGAGCTTCTCTGTAAAATGATAACAGTCCCTTTGTGGTTATATATCATGAATCCATTTGATTGTCGATCCAATATCATTCGAATTTATTTTTACTTCTATCGTCAGAGACAGTAGTATTGCTGGATGGGGAGGGTCTTTCTTTTTTCTAATGGATCTCTTCCCCCCCTGCTCACACACAACTTGCCTTTCTCTAACAAGTTGAATCACTCATTAAATCAGCTACCAGACAGTGGTGGATGATTCTTAGAGAAAGCAAAATTAATTTCTCTTTATTCCTTTATAAATTTTTATATTTCAGGGTATGCAGTCCACATTTAGTTTAAAATTCTGTCATCCAAATCTTTGCTGGCAAGCTTCTTTTTTTTCTTTTTTTTTTAAATCTTTGCTGGCAAGTTTTTTTTTTTTTTTTTTGTCTGGAGGAACAGGCTTTCCTTCGATGTTAATAGCTACATTTTCGTTAAATTATCTCTTCTACATTTCTAAAGTGTCTGTATTATCAATTAAAAATATATCTTTCATTGACTTTTGTGAGTTTTTAGTATTTCTTTTGTAGACTTAACCTATCTTGTTCATTAATCATTATATATATGATAAATAAAACAAATTGTATTGAAAAAAAAAACCAAATGGGGATTCTCGATTGAAGTTTGTCTTCCTCTCTTTTTTCTTAAGAAGTGTTTTCTTCCCTTTTATTCATCTTGGATTCTTTAGCTTATATTTTTAAATTTTTTTATTAATCACAAGGACAGATTTTTTTCAGTTTTGTGTAACTTTTATTATTTTCCGAATGTGAATGACGTTATTGGAATCCAATCAACCATCTTCTAATTAAACAAATATAAATATCAATAAATAATGTTCTGACAAGTTGGTTCCATATGGCTTTCTATAATTTTATTTCCATTAATTCATATTTGAAAGTCTTATTTATTATTGGAACAGAACAATTTTATTGAAATAGGAATGCAGAGGAGTTTACTGTTACAGTAGTTATATAATTTCATATGACACTACAATTTTATTGTCTGATGTTCTCAACCAGTCAAATCTCCCATGTCACTACAATTTAATAATCTAGAGATGTTCGAAGCTTTCCAATGCCTTGGCACTTGAGCATATAGGTTCTCCATGTCTTCAAATTTAGTAAATGTTCTTGCCCTCCATTTGTTTGAGTGGGTTTTCTGGCATTTGGTATAATGGAAAAAGAAAGGAAAACAAGCTTATTTGGATGGAAAGGTGGAAAACTTTTTCCGGACTAATGTCTTGCTAATGCCACCACTCTACCACCGTCACCGTCACCGTCACCGTCACCATTACCTCCACCACTGCACAACCACCTCCACCCCATCACTGCTGCTGCAGCCGCCATCATCCCCGCAGCCACAACCACCACCACCCTACCATAGGGATGGCAATTTAAACCCGGCCTGATGGGGACCCGATCCCCCGACCCCGATTGGAACGGTTTTTCCCCGAAAATTATCCCCATAGGGCCGGGGATGGTATTGAAAATTAAATCCCCGATGATTTTTAGGCCGGGGACGGGGATAAATTCCCCCACCCCCGGCCCCGGCCCGGCCCCGCCTCGTTTGATCCCCGACTGATCCCCGTATGTTATTATAATATATATATATATATTATATTATATGTTTAGGTAAAGTTATTATAATATATACATATATTATATTATATGTTTGGCTGACCCTCCCTCACATCACACAGTCACACACTCACTGTCTCTCATCTCTCTCTCTCAAACCTTTACAGACGCAAATCGAGCTCTCCCTCCTCCGCCGATGGCGCTCCTGTCCCTCGTCCACCGATCTCCCTCGTCCACCGATCTCCCTCCACTCCCTCGTCCGTCGATCGCCCTCATCTCCCTCCTTCGCCGAGCTCCCTTCTCCGCCGATTGAGCCACCACAACTCACCACTGTTTGCAGCAGTCTTCCTCTCTCTCTCTCGATCGATTTGTTATATATATATATATATATTAGATTTGTTATATATATATGTTAGATCTGAATTTTTTTTTTTTGAGCTCATCAGATCTATTATGGTGATGAACAGATCTATTAGATCTGAAATTTTTTTTTTATTTACATTTGAGCATCAGATTTCTCTCTCTACGTTGTTATTGTTGATGATGAACAAATTCGTTGTATCTATTTTTTTTTTGGGCCGGGGATTAATCGGGGTCGGGGGTCGGGGTGGATATAGGTTCCCCGTCGGGGATCTTTTTTTTTTTTGGACGGGGATTAATCGGGGTCGGGGAAACCCGATCCCCGTTAGGGGCCGGGGGTGGGGGCGGATATAGGTTCCCCGTCGGGGATCGGGGCCGGGACGGGGGGGATTTCCACCATCGGGGATCGGGGACGGGGAGGGTGATCCCCGGCCCCGCCCCGCCCCGTTGCCATTCCTAATCTCGGCTTGAGGAAGAAAAAGTGTTAGTCAAACATACCAACTTTCTTGAGCCTAGATCCTTATCTCGGCTGAAAAATAAACTGAGTGTTGGTCAAACCTACAAATCTTTTTGAGCCTAGACCCTTATCTCGGCTGAAGAGAAAGTGTTTGGTCAAACCTGCCAAACTTCTCAATTACCCCTAGTCAAACGAGCAACTTAAACAGAGGAAAGAATTTTTACTGAAAAAATATCTACTTGATTTATTAAAAAAGAAAAATTACAAGTGTTTACAAAAAAGCTAAAAATAAAATACTCTGAGATTAGCCGTGTTCCATGGCCAATGAATAACTATGCCGTCCCCATCTTCTAAGTGATGTACCCCTTTTCCAGCCAAACCAATCACTCTGTATGGTCCTTCCCAATTAGGTCCTAATTTGCCATCTCCAGGTATCAAGGTGTTTCCCATAACTTTGCGCAGTACCCAATCTCTAATCTTGAATTTCCTGGGGTACACCTTTTTATTGTATTTTCTGGACAATTCCTGTTGATACGAGGCAATGTGTACCAATGCTCTCTCTCTCCTTTCTTCTGCAAGGTCGAGTTATAGGGATATGGCCTCGCCATTCAAGTTTGGATCAAAAGTTTCGCTTCTGATGGTAGGGAGGCCAATTTTCAGAAGGATTACCGCATCCATGCAACAAGCCAAGGAAAAAGGTGTTTCGCCAGTCGATCGCCGAGGTATAGCTCGATAAGCCCATAAGACGTAGGAAAGTTCCTCAACCCATTTGCCATTTTCTTTTTCCAACCTCTTTTTCAGGCCATCTAAGACTACTTTGTTGGAAGCTTCAGCCTAGCCATTGGCTTAGGTGTATGCCGACATAGAGTTGTAGAATTCTATCTTGTATTCTTCGCAAAAATTCCTGAAGATTTTTCCATAAAACTGAGTGCCGTTGTCAAATATTAGAGCCTTGGGTATTCCGAACCGGGTTATAATGTTTTGCCAGACAAACTTCTTGACATCTTTTTCTTTTATGGATGCAAGTGCTTCCGTTTCCACCCATTTTATGAAGTAGTCCGTTGCCGTCAGAAAGAACTTTCTGTTGCCTAGCACGGTTGGGAGTGGTCGCACTATATCCAGGCCCCACATTACAAAGGGCCACGAGCTGGTCAAAGGTAGGAGCTCTCTAGCCGGTTGATGTATTTGATGTGCGAACTTTTAACATTTGTCACACTTCTTGACATATTTCTCTCCATCTACTTGCATGTACGACCATCAATACCCTTGTGAAATTGCTCGGTAGGCCAGCAATCTTCCCCCTTGGTGGCTTCCGCAAACATTTTCGTGTATTTTGAACAAAAATACCTCGACCTTGCTGGGATGGACACACTTCAAGTAAAGTCCTATGAAGGATTTTTTGTACAATGCTAGTGATGAGGAGAGCCAAAATTGCTATGACTTTGTTCTAATTTTATTGGCTTCTTTTTGTTCTTCAGGTAAGATGCCATCTTTTAAAAACACTATGATGGGATCCATCCAAGAAGGGCCTAGATCGGCGCAACATGCTTCGGCTACTTCTAGCTCTTCAATACATGGTTTGGGTAGGAAGTTAATTAACAATGGGTGTGGGATAGACGTATTTGCCATTGATGCAAAACTGGCTAGCTCATCTGCTTTACTATTTTCCTCTCGACCGATTTGCTTTATCTGAACCACTTCAAGTTTTGTGATCTCATTTCTGGCCAACTCTTGATACTTGGCCATTCTATCATCCTTTGCTTCGTAGTTGCCCGAAATTTGGTTGACTACTAGTTGGGAGTCACTGTATACCATCAGCTTGGTGGCCTTCATGCGAAATGCTAACTTCAAACCCGCTAATAATGCTTCATACTCCGCCTTGTTCTTGGATGCTGGAAAGCCAAGGTTGATTGCTGTAGACACCCCAATTTTGACCGGCCCTAAGACTTTGGCGCTTTCTTTTAATTACCCAATGATGACAATTAGAATGTGTTTCTCACAGAATCCTCAGTAGGAGAGGTAGAATTTAAACTTTAATCCCAACCTTCACCATTATGGCCCAATTGTTTTAAACTACTAAATATTTTATTAGTTTAGTATTTTGTAATTTTGCATAATTTTATGTGTTTGTTCATATTTTTGGTGTTTTTATATAAATTGGTATAAATTATATATTTTATATGTATAAAATAAAATAATAAAAAAAGTTATATTATTATATTATATGTTTAGTATTTTGGTATAAATTATATATTTTATATATTATAATAAAAGAAAAATAATAAAAAATTATATGGATGTCATTCAGCCATCGGCTGCCGACATCAACCTCAGCAAACATATATAAATTTATATTATTATATTATCTATTTGTTGCCTATATAAAGCAACCAAATGGTGAGATTTCAAAAAGAGAGGGGAGGCCCAACAAAGAAAAAGGAGAGAGGCTAATCAGAGGGAGAGAAAAATGAAATGGTGCGAGAGAATTTGAGAGAAAAAGAATCAGAAAGAAAGAAAATTAGTTTTTTTTTTTTAGAGAGAGAGAGAGGGAAAATAAAATATTTTCTCTGATATTTTTATTTCCATTTCATCAATACACCATTCAAAAACCAACCACTAAAGCTGTAGTTCCAAATTTTGAACTGAG